ACGAGCACAGAGAGTGATTGGTATGGAAACGAAAGAACAATGAAATCTGAGACGATTGATTGACATTTAGCAAATGAAGTATTATCTGTATAGTTTTCAGATGTTACTAAAACGTTCTGTAATGTTGTATTCAAATACATTTGATTGTCCCTACTTGTATTCTCGTTTACTACATTTGGTCTCGCTGCCAACCAGGAGGGGGGAAGTGCTGTTCTTGCAAAAAAGATATGATTCAAGGCTAGATAAATAAACCTGTACACGAAAAATGATTTCCGTCTGTTTATCTCATAGTGATTACTAATGGAATCCCAGATATACTCATACACATGTTTCATCTTAAATCAAGAGTATTATCATAATCAATATCTAATTAATGATTATGTGGTGTGTGCTACTTAACGTCGACATAAGTAGTATATAACGCCTATAAGAAATAGAATGCCTGACAGCAAAAGATTAAGAAGATTAAAGAAAACAGAACGAGAACAGAGAATGATTGGTATGGAGATGAAGGAACAATAAAGACTGAGACAATGAATAAACATTTTACAAATCAAGCATTTAACGTATTGTTTTCATATTGTTTTCCAAATAACTCTAATTTCGTGTTCGAGTAGGTTCAGTCATTCCCAGCACTGATTCTGTTCATAGCAACTATATAAAGGTTTTCTATGATAAAATACAAGATCTATACTGAATGCTAAAGATTCTATCAGAGGTTATCTGTTTAATGATTGATTAAATTTCTAATTAGTTACTACTCATTTCTTGAAAGAGAATGATCAATTCTTGTATAAGTAACTTCTTATGAAGAAGACTCCTTGACATTGAAATAGATCAAACTATGATGTATTTCATTTATTTATTTATTTAGACACATAAACATTGGTATAATGAGGCACCAAATATATATGAACCACATAAATCATTTGATTTGGGTAAGGGCTAGGATACCAACCGGGTACCAAAACTGAAGCAGGTGGTTTTCTTATGAAGCCACGCCCGGAGCCTTCGACCTAAAGGTTTGATTCACAAGGCAGTTGAACAACGTAAGGAGATGCAGTCTCATGGTAGCCAGTGACCAACAATATGTTCGTATGCCATTTTATTCCTTAGGATCCTGTAACCTATGCATACCACTGGTTTGGAATCAGGATTTTCCAACTCCCCCAAATGGATCCTCCATATCCACCAGTCCGGTTAAAGCACCGAACATTCAATTTTCGCCCTCTCAGTTTCGTAAACAACACCCTTGCCTCGAGAAGGCAATGAGTAGGACTTCCCTGACAGTGAGGGTATGCACATGATCATGTGAGAGCATTTTAAGAGAGATAGAGAGAGAACTGACTCCCCCACCCTCAGTAGTACCAGGGAATTTGGAGGTTACCTAGAATTCATGTAGAACTCTATACAACCAACTTATATACGATGTCTCGATAAGTTGATCTATTCTAATCACTTTATTTTGTAATTAAATAAAATAAAATACTAATTGGCCATATTTAAGATTTTTCTTTATTTCTACTAGTCATATTCAATAAAGCCAACAGAATGAGTAAAGATAAGATTAAATTGAATTTGATTTTATTGTATGAAATGCCAATTTTAATACAGTCTGAGTGGATAATAACAATAATGTTCTATTGTATATAATTCAATTATCCAGTAAGCAAACATAAGTACTTACTTACGCCTGTTACTCCCAGTGGAACATAAGCCACCGACCAGCATTCTCCAACCCATTCTGTCCTAGGCCTTCCCTTCCAGTTCCGTCCAATTGTTATTCATTCTTCTCATATCTGTCTCCATTTTTCGATGTAATGTGTCTGTTGGTCTTCCTCTCCTCCTTCGACTTTGAGGATTCCATGTGAGGACTTGCCTTGTGACGCAGTTGGGTGCTTTCCTCAATGTGTGTCCTATCCGCTTCTAGTGCTTCTTTCTGATTTATTTCCTCCATTGGAATCTGGTTTTTTCTCTCCCACAATAGGTTGTTTCTGATAGTATCTGGTCAACTAATCCGAAGAATGTTGTTTAAACAGCTGTTAATGAACACCTGTATCTTCTTGATGATGGCTTTTGTAGTTTTGGAAGTTTCTGCCCCTTACTGTAGTACTCTTTTGACATAAGTACTATATGAAAGTAAAACGCTATGATTTAAGATAAATATGTACAAGGAAAGATCTGCATAGGGTTATAGAAATTGTTGAGTTTAGATTGATATCATGAGTAATGAATCAATGTTAGAATATCTTAGGAGATCCGGATGGACTAGATGGCGTTTCGTCATTGTATGGGACTTCTCAGCTGTGTGCGTCTGCGACCTCGCATTAGGAAATCGAACCCAAGACCTCCAGTCTCGCGCAGCAACAATAGCGAACGGTCGCACAATTTCGTGGATTGGTTGAAATTTGATATTAACACCGTTGGATTTAGAGGTTAAGCGTTCGCGTGCGAGATCGAAGGTCCTGGGTTCGAGCCCCTTGTGAGGGATTGTAGATGCACACTGCTAAGTAGTCCCATACTAGAACTTAGTTGTTGTCCAGTGATTCCAGGTTGTCTTCTTTCAAATCCATCATCATTGAAGATCTTACAGGGATGAAATTATGGAAGAACTATTGTTGACGTTGTATTGATATGAAGAGATCCTATGTGAATTTCATTATCTTTTTCAACATTCCCTATCTCCCCAGCTTACTTATTGTTTAGTGGTTGTTTTTGCGGATTTACTGTAAATAATGTGGATTGAAATGAAATTTGATTGATTCAAGTGTTATGTGAAATCTATCTATTAAAACGTAAGCACTAATTACTTTTACTGTATAATGACAAAAAAAAACATTAGGTAATGACTAGCAGCGGAATGCAGGACGCGCGTTTCGTCCTATTCGAAAGTCGTCAGTCTGACGTGCATGCATCGTAGAATTGATTTTCATTCCGAGACTCGAAAGCAGTACCGTTCGCTTTAAACAAACAATACCAAGTGAATCATAAAAAAAATATTTCCTAACGATTTTTAATGTTCTAAGCATTGTACCATAGTATTTCTCTAATTAATTTTATGTTGGAAGCCATTCTTAATTCTCATGTATTCATCTCTCGGTGAGACTACAATTTATGGACCAACCAATGAGATATAAAGTAATAGGTTTTGGATTTTGGCGCGAAATCCATTCATCCATTTGGCTAAATAGCGTCTTGCCAGTTTAGTTGATGTCAGTTCGTGGCGAAAAACCGTGATTCTAATTCTTAGCTCTAACCATCAACTGTTGATCGTGATCCTTATTCTTCAAACTGCTTTATAACCATTAAGCCCTGGTAAGTAAATGAACATTCTTAAGGTCATTCTAGAGACACTCAAAGGTCATCCCTAAATTATAGTCTTACCATTTTAAAAAAATTATTCACGAATGAATATCCATCTATTCAAGATAAATCTAATAAGGTTATATCTATCTATCTGTTTGTGTGCGTGTGTGTGTGGATACTCTTAGTATAAACCAACTTCTTTGTGGAAATAAAATATTATTGTAATCTATAATAATAAACCATACTGTAACTTAACAGTTTAATTCATAAGTCAATTGAAGCTAGACCACCATGAAAACTTGAAATCACTGGATGGCTGTTTTGTCCGTTAATATGAGATTCCTCAGCAGTGCACATTCACGATGCCGCCTTGCGTGATTCGAACTTAGGACCGATCAGACTCTCGCGCTTAATCTCTAGAACACTGACCCGGCATCCAACAGTGTTCATGACTAACTTCAACCAATTATGGATGTGCACTGGTAAGGCAGTTTCATACTAGAACAAAACAGCCGTCCAATGCTTCCAGATTTTCCATGGTGGTCTAACAACAATCGATTCATGAATTCAACTGTTAAATTACTATAATATTCACAAAAACACCCCTCTCTGATTCTACTGTAACTAACTCAAGATAACAATTTTGATCACTCTTACCTGTCCTTTGCTCAACCTTGACGGACGGTGCTCTGTTATACGATAACGAACTTGCCGAACTGTACGCCCTATATAACTGGCTCCACAGGAGCAGTTAAATCAATAAATACACATGAATTTGGTGAATTCAAGCAATCTGTCTTTATTGACCGTTCTAATTGTGGGGTGGTTGTAGAAGATAAAACTTAGTCTAGCTGCATTAAACAATTTTTTGTACCACTTTTCTTAGTCTCTGAGTCAAAATTTCTTAAGTAGTGTCATTTAGGAATTGTAATTTTATGAACAATAATTTCTTATTATAGTAATTACAATGGTTAAAATCATGAGTCAGTGGAAGCTAGACGACCATGGAAAACCTGGAAGCACTGGACGGCCGTTTCGTCCTATTATGGGACTCCTCAGTAGTGCGCATCCACGACCTCGCCCCCCTGCGAGATTCAAACACAGGACCTTCTAGTTTCGCGCGCCAATACTTAATCATTAGATCACTGAGCCGTAATCCAACGGTGTTAATGTCTAACTTCAGCTAATCCACGAAATTCAGCGACACATCCACCATTGTGTTCAGTGAGTCACTATATCACAACAGACCTGGTTTAACTCCACTGATCACTACTTCTCACTAGAACTCCAGGATATACCACTAATGAGCATATGTTGATTAATATTCACATAACCCATCTGATAATAATTTCTTAGAAACGATAAGTATCTTTGTCCCTCTTTTCATTTCCTTCATATATCTGCCTATGAATTTCACAGGGTATCCATTCTTACTAAGTAAGTTACAAATATTAACCAATTCATTCACAATAGTGTCATCCAAATCAATCATTCTAATACGATGAATCAATATCTTTATCCAATTCTTTTTGTATCCATGATAGTCTAACAACAATCAATTCATGAATTCAACAACAACAACAACCACAACAAGGATAATATTCATAAAAAAACACCCCTCTCTGTAATTCTACCATAACCAAATTCAACATAACAATTTTGTATACAATAGATAACATTTCTTTATTAATAATAATAATGATAATAATAATAATAAAAAAACAAAAAAAAATGAACATTGAAGCAAGTTATAATCATGTATAATAATAATAATAATAATACTTTATATAATGACATGAATGAAAACGTTTGATGATATCAATTATTGAATATTGTTCCATAAATATTTTGTTAAATGCATCAATGTTTATTTGTTTAATTTGAATATGGTTTTAATGGTAATATTAGTAACAATACTAATAATAGTAATCATAATGATAATAATAGTAATAATGATACTAATGATACTAATGATAATGTTCCCAATGAAATTTCATATAAAGATAATAATAATAATAATAATAATATTTAAAAGTATACAAATGAATTTTTATTGTATTTGTTATTAGTTGAAAAAGAATTCAAATCAATTATTAGTTTTATAGTATAGTATTGATTATGTAATAGATGATAATAGTAATGATGATGGTGATGGTGATGGTGATGATAGTAATTCAATAAATTCTATTCAATATGTATAATTAATCTAAAAGTTAAACAATAGAATTGTTTCCTTTTAGAAAAACAAAAACAACAACAACAACAACAAGATGTTTCAAAAAAAAAAAGAAGATAAGGGGGAGTTGATTGATTGATTGATTGATTGATTAATTAATTAATTGATCGATCAATTGATAAAGAATGAATAAATGATCGATTTTTTTCATAAATAAGATCATCTCAAATACATGAATCATTGATCGTAATATCAATTGAATTACACTTGATTGTAAAATTATTGAAGAGGTGAAACATTTCTGGTATCTAAGTAATGTAACATATATTAAGAAAGAAGATAAGGAGGGATTGATCGATCAGTTGATAAAGAATGAATAATAATCACCTCACATACATAAATAATTGATCATAACATTAACTCAATTATATTTGATTAAGAAACTGTGGCAGAGTTAGAAATGTTTATGTATGTGGGTAGCAACAAATATCAAGAAAGAAGATAACGGTTGATTGATTCATTGATTGATTGATTCATTGATCGATCAATTAATAATCAATAAATAATTGATCATGATCTTAATGATATAAAATATATATATCTATATATATTAAATTTGATTGACAATAATTAAAAAATAACACCAATAAAAACAATTATATAATACAAAACATGCTGGAAATAAAAATCTACTATATGTATCAATTTCTGATTCAATTAAACCAGGTGGTCGTTTAGGTTTAGTTTTATCTTTATGATCATCAATTAATTGATTAGTTAATAAATGTTCTAATTCTTCACGAAATTCTAATTGTCCTCTAGTTAAATTATGTGAATTTTGTAATTGTATTAATTGTTGTTGTTGACATATAGTACACCAACGTGCTAATTCTTCACGTACTATTTCTTTAACATCTTCATGCCATGTTTCAGATTGTTTACGTCTTAATATAGTTAATGCTATAGCATATTCAACTAATACACCTATAACAAATATAATAGAAAATATCATCCATATATCAATTGCTTTAATATATGATACACGTGGTAATGTTGATGATACACTAATAGCTTGTGTTAATATACCAAGTAAACTAAGTAAACCTAATGGTACACGTGCTGGTGCTGAATCAACATTAACCCAAAAACTTAACCATGATACCATGATAATTAATACATTTGGTATATATGTTGTGGCTAAATAACTACCTAATTGTCTTTGTAATTCAAATGTTGCATTTAAACATGTATATTGTCCTGTTGATGTTGAATAACCAGATGAACAATCATTTGTATCAAATTTTTTAGGTGTTTCAAATTCTGATAATTGTAATTTATCAGCTAATTCAACTGGTTTATCATTATTCCATACAAATTTTAATTCATTTAATGTATAACCATAACTACCAATATTAATATGACAATGTTGATTATCCATAGGAAATGTTTGTAAATGCATTTGACATGAAAATCTCATTGTTATTTTTTGACTATATAATACATTACCATTTGGATGTACACGTAATAAATAATTAGGTAATGTTAATTTATGTAAATAACCATCTTTACCATTACGAAAAAATAAATCAGGTAACCATAATTGTTCTTTTAATTTAGGTGATACTAATGGTTCATTAAATTTTGAAAATTCTGGTATATCATACCATGATAAACGACGATCACGCCATACTTGTCTTAATAATAAATCAATATAATAATCCATTGTACGTACATCAATTGAAAATATAGCTAATACTTTCATATTTACTGTAACTATAGTTGCATTACCACCATCTGGTGGACGTTCATAACTTCTATATTTTGACATAATTAAATTAACAATACGATCTCTCATTGATGTTTTTGTATGAATTTCTTCTTTTAATTGATTTTCTTTATTATTATGATTATTATTATTATTATTAATTATATCTGTATTATTTATTATTGTTATATAATTTGGATCATTCAGATCTGGATCATGAGTTTGTAAATATGGTATATTTGGTTGATTATTTATTGATAAACTTTCAATATTTTGATTTGTTTGTTTATATAAAGAATTAATATTACGATTAGATTGTTTCATAGATAATTGATTATAATATGGTATATTACATGTTACATAATATAATATTGTTACTAAGTGAAATATAATGAATATACAATGAATAATGATTGTATTAAACTTCATTTGTATACATTTAAATAATCATTATTTTAAGAATATAGGTTATCCTCATTGAATTAGTATTTCTAACCTACTAAAGAAATAATGCCTATACAATCAATACATATATATATTTATTTATAGTTTTGAGGTGTATAGATGTATACCTATATACTTACATACATACAGACATACATACGCACGCACGCACCCCCACACACACATTAAAGCATATGTACATCTCTTAGTAATATATTCCTTATATTTGAGTACATTGGACTGTATATGTATGTATATTATAAGTATAATAACATTAGATAGGTAGGAAAATAGGTAAACTTAACCAGGTAACTAAATAACCAATCAAATTTAAGATAAAAAATACAAAAAAAAACAACAACAACAAACCATATCTGCCTGCCTGATATTGCTTAGATTATTAATAAATAAGAATAATTATAATTATATAATCTAAAAAAAATATTAACCAATAAAAAAAGTCTTAATTTACTCAATTGCTTTCTTCTTAAAATAAAAAAAAAAATTTTTTTTATTTTTTAGAATAATTTGTTTTTGATTGAGATCATGACTTGATTGATGTTAGACCATCGTTGGAAACTTGGAAGCACTGAATAGCCGTTTCATTCCTATTGTGCGATTCCTCAGTGGCAGTGCGCATCCATGATCCTGGTTGGGAGTTTTGAATCAAGAGCCTTTAGTCTCATGTGCGAACAATTAGCCTATTGGACCACTGAGCTGGCATTCAATGGTGTTAATGTCTAACCTCAACTAATCCACGAAATTGTGCAATCATCTTATATTGTACTGAGGTAGATACCTGTCTCTACTCAACACGGATTAGCTGTAGTAGTCACGGCTTCTCACTACAACTCTGAGAATTCCCTCACGAAGCTTGTCACTAGTGAATTTATCTTAATTATCAGTATAGAGTTGTGAAGATTATTAAGTTTTTGATTGAGATCATAAACCGATTGATCCCGTGAGTAGGGTCGTGGATGCACATTGCTGAGGAGTCTCATACTAGGACGAAAAGTCTGTCTAGTGATTCTATGTTTTCCAAATTGATCTAGCTTTAATCGAATCATGAATTGAACTATTAAATAATGAATTCTTTAGATATTTAATTGTATACTCATACGTGATTGTCTTTGTTGTAACTGTAAAAATGACATTTGAACAATATGCATAGAATGATTGATTAAAATAAACAAATCTCATTATTTATCTTTCTCTTGAAGAAAAATGAAAGTCTAATCATCAAGTGTTTTTATAAAAATTTTCTGAATGACATACAATTGAGAAGTATAGGAAACAGTGAATGATCTAAATTATAAAGAATATTTAATAATCATTTTAATGGTTGAGATCATGAATCAATTGAAGCTGGACTACCATGGAAATCCTGGAAGAACTGGACAGCCGTTTCGTCCTAGTATGGCATTCCTCAGCAGTATGCATTCACAATCCTGCACAAGGGACGCGAACCCAGGATCTTCAGTTTCACACGCGATGATTATGTTGATCACAACTTGACACTTTACTATGAATCATTCTGATATTTATTAGATGATAATCTTTTTAATTTACAATTCACACTATCTTGAAAAAGTCATACCATTATAGATGCAAATGTTCACCAATTTTAGCATATAACTTTGTCTAATTGATTAATACGGGCGACAGGGATAGGATAAAAAAGAGCCAAGAAAATTAGCATACAGAATTGTCGTCGTGTTTCGGGGGATAATAAATTTTTACTTATACTAGTCTCTGTCTTTTTACTTTCGCGTCGTGAGAATTTGCAGAGGTCCCTCGTTTCGAGTATTAGTGATAAGGGTTCCGGTACAATAATCAGCGACGACCAGATATAACTAGAAGCATTTAAACAACAAGACATATCAAATACATCATCAAAAACCTGCAAGTATTTTTAAACAATTATCTACTCAAGATAATCAATGCCCGCTAGCTGGATACCATCAGCAGCAGTCTACTGTGAGACAGGACAAACCAACTTCCAGTTTAGGAAGTAATTAGGAACAGATGCTGGTAGTATATAAAAAATAACTAAACTGAATCATGAAGTAAACACTAAGTTGGAATTGTGAAGGGAAACAGAAAAGAGGAAAACTAATGAACAAACTGTGTTGGCAATCGGAAGCAGACATGAAAAGCATAAGTAGTAACTAGAAACAACAAGAAATAATTACCTTGGACAGAATAAGATGGAGAATGTTGATGGTTGACCTATGCTCCTCCATGAGAGGTAACAGTCTTAAGTATTTAAGTAAGTTGTTGAAACTAATTGTCCACTTAGATATTCTTTGCATATTCTGTAGGGATTTTTAAATAAAAAGAACACTGAATTGTCCAACAATAAATAACAAGGTGTGAATATAAATGAATTTAAGAATTCAATTTTGACAGGTTTTTTTAAACTTTTATAAGTGACAGTTTTTTTAGAATAATTCTAAAGGTTTTTCATCACTTGATATATAATTAAAATCTATAGGGTTTTAAAAGAAAAATTCATATGAATTACATTCATTAGATTTGTTAGTAGTAGCCATAGCAACTAGAGTGTTTTTCTGCTTAGCGTTGTTTAGCGAGTTAGTTTTCTATAGGATGAAGTCGCTAACCCCATGCCCAACCTTCTTACTTTATCCGGACATAGGACCGGTGGAAGAGCTACAGGTGAAGTTGAGGAACATATGGAACTCAAAACGACTTCCAACAAATATCAAAGTCACAATCTTCAACATGAACGTCAAGACAGTTCTACTGTATGGAAGTGAAACTTGGAGAACTACTACAACCATCATCAAGAAGGTGCAAGTATTTATAAATAATTGTCTACGTAAGATACTCAACATCCATTAGCCAGATATCATCAGCAACAGTCTACTGTAGGAGAGAACCAACCAGCTTTCAGCTGAAGAAGAAATTAGGAAAAGACGATGGAAATGGATAGGACAAGCCCTAACTTGGAATCCTGAAGGGAAGCGGAAAACAGGAAGGCCGAAGAACACATTATGACGGGAAATAGAATCAGATATGAAAAAGATGAATAAGAACTGGAAATAGCTGGAAAGGATTGCCCAGGACATGGTTGGATGTAGAGTGCTGGTGAATTGCCTTTGCTCCTCCACGAGGAGTAACAGGCGTAAGTAGGTAAGTAAGTGAATAAGTATCATCAATAATATTCATTTCACTCCTCAATGTTCTTTAATCGGTTTGTATCAATTTGTAAAGATTCGATGGTGTTGATTTAAACATGCAGTATTTAGCTTTACATCAATTGATTTTTTATTCAAAATCACTTATGTAGTTTCTGTCCAATGTGATTTGAATCATGGCACTTGTCGGTCAGTCAGTCAACAATGTAGAACGTCGTACGTACATAAGTTACTATACCACATTAGCACAGAGATGTAGTTGTCGATTCAAATCCCGTAGTCGTAGAGGTAGTAAGAGTATAGGCAGTAATCGGAAACACTAAGGTTTGAAGATGTTATTCAAAGAGTATAATTCAGTGAAATAAATTATGAAAGAGAAAAGAAAGAAAGGGATATGAAGAATTCAGAAGATTAGAATTCAGGAGAACAAAAAGAGTGGATGCATCTGAGCCACTGAAAACTATTTTGAGCCATGTCATTCAAGATCTCTAAACATTGGTTGCTATCTTCTCGCTGATCCCGCCCAGATGGTCTACACCTACCAACATGACTCAGTCCACCTGTCAGTGACTTCATGGATTAGTGCCATGTTTTGGTCTGGCAGCCCTTAGCCATGAATGACATGACTCAAACTCGTTTGTATGGCACTTGATCATTTAACAGTTCAACTATCAAATATGTATTGTACAAGATCACCTCACAGACGGGATTTATATTATGAGAAGCGAAATGTTGAAACAACGGTAATAATGGTGAGTAAAACTTAAAATATAGTAGAAAGTTCTAAAATATTTGGTGTGCTCGTGTTATGACCTGTACAGAACGACAATAAGACTGACAATATGGAAAACATGTCGAACACATTTGCTCCACTACGACTGTTCTCGGGATATGTTTTATAACTTCACAGTAACTGTATTTGAGGATGACTGCACAAATCACAACTAGGGAGTGTATCTTGTCTTGAAATTTTAATTTGACAAGAATATCCGATATTGAGTATTGGTTTATTACTATGTGTACCGGTTCTATTGTTTTATGTGCACGTAAGTAGGTGTTGAGTGTTTGTCACTATGTATCCTTACTAACTTGGTTAAAGCTGAAAGATGTTTGGAAAACTTTTGAATAATTGATAAGCATAGTAAATGTTCTTTGGAAAAGAGGAAAACTAAAGAACACATTACACCGACAAATGGAGACAGACATGGGAAAAATGAATAACATTTGGATAGAACTAGAAAGAAAAACCCAGGACAGAGTGGGTTGGAGAATGCTGGTTGACGGCCTATGCTCCGTTGGGAGTAACAGGTGTAAGTAAGTTAAATAAGTATAGTGAATGTTAACATTCAATGTAACAATGTTAAATATTTTTATGTAAGTAATCAACAAATTCCTACTAATTCAATGAAGACAAAAAACATATATCTACCCTCTATTCATCATTTTATTAAATGTCTAAGGGTGAATTATCACTTCACAGTTGAATTTCATGTTACATAGAGAAAAAAATCTTACAATGTCAAAAATACTATTTCATCTTCCAGCTTTCATAGATTGGCTTATATTAAGTTATGAAACGAGAAGATAGTCAATATCATACAGAATTCCTATGATGGATGAAACTGCAAGATCGTTCATCGAGGACAGTTGAAAAAGTCGTTCGATGTAAAGACCGGTGTCAGGCAAGGTTGCTTACTCTCACCCTTTCTCTTTCTCCTGGTGATCGACTGCATCATGAAAACGTCAAAATCTGAAGGGAAACACGGGATACATTGAACAGCTAGGATGAAGTTGGACGATCTAGACTTCGCAGATGATCTGGCTCTTCTATTGCATACGCAACAACAAATGCAGGAGAAGACGACCAGAGTAGCAACAGCCTCGGCAGCAGTAAGTCTCAATATACACAAAGAGAAAAACAAGATTCTCCGATACAGCACAACATGCACCAATCCAATCACAATTGACGGAAAGGATTGGGAAGATATAAAAACCATTACATATCTGGGCAGCATCATTGATGAACAGGGTGGATCTGATGCAGATGTGAAGGCACGGATCGGAAAAGCAAGAACAATATATTTACAACCGAAGAACATCTGGAACTCAAAACAATTGGCAACCAACACCAAAGTCATGATTTTCAATACAAATGTCAAGACAGTTCTACTGTAAGGGGTGGAAACTTCCAGAACTACGTAAGCCATCATCCAGAAGATACACGTGTTTATTAACAATTGTCTAAGCAAAACACTTAGGATTCGTTGGCCAGACACTATTAGCAATAACCTACTGTGGGAGAGAACAAACCAGATTCCAGTGGAGGAAGAA